CAAGACCAAAACCAAGACCAAGACTGAGTTAGCAAAGCAAGACCAAGACCAAGACTGAGCTATCAAGAACAAGACTATGACAAAGACTTTGACAGTCTTGGTCTTGTTCTTGTTTTGCTCATCACTANCAGTCTTGGTCTTGTTCTTGTTTTGCTCATCACTAATTATAAGGGGATTACACTGATTTTCATAAATATTATATCAATCTAATTAACATAGTATAAAAAGTTAAACATATTTAAATTTTTTTGTTTCTTTGAAGTCGAAAAAAATTACTTTAAAATTTGAACTAGCTAAATTTCCATTTTTATTAAGTGACGAATGCGACGTAAGGTCTGAGACGGTAACACTTGGGTTTTTCATACCTGTGGCACTGAATTTTTTCTTAATTCTTTTTGAGTTAGAAAAAAATGTTTTCAATATCAAAATCATTTGATTTTTATCTCATTTAGATTCAATAATTTCAATAAATATCATGGATCCCATTACTGTAGTCTCCTCTCATGAGAAGAAATTCATATTAATATTATTTGACTATGTGGTTTCTTTGTAGCTATCATTTATTTTCTCAGTTCTCACTTGACCAACTTTTTTGACAAATTTTTTTTTAAATTAAACACTATCTATAGATTTGCATCGAAGCGTTTTTTATGATAGTGATTTTGATCACCGTCAGATATCATCTATACTGGACCCAACTATGCCACGACCCTACTGTGCTGAGTTTTTTTTTAATTAAGTGTAATGTTGATTACAATCGATTATTTTAAAGAAACTTTTTATAGTTATAATTTTAAAGTTGATTAACTAAAGGAATGAAATTTTAATATTGTGTCTCAAATTGAATTGCTTCAAAAAAAAAAAATCAAATTTGAATACTTATTGTTCAATACTCAACCTTTAGACTTTGATATACAAAAAAAGCCTATGGAAGACTACGTTGTAGGAACGACTTATTGGCGTATAATGTTCCTGATAAATAGAATGAAAATAATGACATAACTTGAGTTCTCAATAACTTATTTCAAGATATAAACTAAACTGAAAATAACTAAAAGTAAATGAGTTAAGAATTTTAATTTTAAACCACGTTCTGTACTAATTAAATTATTTTCAATGAATTTGAATGAATGACTTTCGATTTTAAAAGCAAAACCAAGCATACATAATATCAATGATTGGCATGGCGTATGGATCAACAAAGATATGACTATAAAGTAATGTGATCAAATAAAATGCTGACTTAATGAATTAATACATAAAAAAAGATCTGAAGAAAATTACTGTATCATAAAATATATCAATAGTTTATCATAACTAACAAAAAAAAAAAAATTTTTATTTGAAGGAAATATTTTTATGATACAATGAAACAAAAATACCAAAACTTATAATAAATTTATGATTTATATTATTAGATATAAAATAATAAGTTCATTGCTATTTTTTTTTTTCCACAAACCGGCATATTGTGGACCGCCCTGGAACTACCGCGAGGTATTGCTTCAGGGCGGCCCACGCCATCTAAAATTCACACCACCACGTCGTGAATCAGCCCGAAATTAATCAAGAGCTGATTCACAACGTGGTGTGGCCTCTCCCGTTAGCCGGATCCCAAAAGTCGGGATCCGTTGCCCGGGTTGCACCACGTGGAGGTGGGGGCAGGACTTTGCGAGGGATGGGCAATATAACTCACAGAACATACAAGCAAACATAAAAAACATAAAACACATATAACCAGCACCTACGGCGCCAGTCTAGCCGNAAGCACCTACGGCGCCAGTCTAGCTGACGCCGCAGGTACTACCACCCTGGGCAGTCTCTGCCTCAGACGTTCGGCCTCCTCTTTTTGGCTCATCACCGATTCGGCGAACGCCTGAACCAGAGACCACCCCTCCCGGCTTCTCAACATATGGTCCACCATGGACCCCACACCGAACGCGGACCCCAAGCGGGATTCCAACTCCTCCCGCTCGTTGGTCCACGCTTCGCACCGGAAGAGCGTATGCAGAGCATTGTCCGCTTCTCTCGGGCGATCCCGACAGTGATCGCACATAGGCGCGGCTGCCTTCCGAATACCGTGAAGGTATTCGTTGAAGCAGCCGTGACCGGACATCACTTGAGTCAGACGATATGTCATTTCCCCGTGAGTCCGGCCAATCCACCTGTCGAGCCGGCTGGGTCCGATGAGGGACCTAGTCCACGCTCCCGCGGATTCCTCGTCGGCCAGTCGCTGGCGCCAACTGGATACGGTCACACTCCGGAGTTGCAGCCGGTCCTCCGCACGAAGCGGCTGACCGGTACTCTTCCGGAGCTCGTATCCGTTGGCGCGTTCGACGGCCAACAGGTCCGCGGGCGGCAGAGAAGCCAGGATCCTGGCCGCCACTCCGGATACGGTGCGGTATGCGCACACCGTCCGGAGAGCGGCCCTTCTCTGGACCCGGTTCAACGCTTCTACGTTCTTGGGCGAGTACTCCAGTATACTCGCCCAGAAAGGAGGACCGAGTGAACAACGCTGACTAGCAGTCGGCGTCGATGTTCCTTCGGTCCCCCGATTTTCGGCATCAGTCCCGCCAGGCGGTCCATGACCTTCTGA